CCATAGTACCATGTAGAGGCACAGTATGCTTTTGACAAACTTTCATTAGATAATACATTAATTAATTCCCGCAAAAAAATAGATAATTAAAAATAAATAAATAAATAAATAAATAAATAAATAAATAAATAAATAAATAAATGAATAAAAAAATAAATAAATAAAATATGTGAAAAAAAATAGAGACATGTTTTGTTCACTCTTTGAAGGTAATTGAAATTATGGTATTGGAATGTTTTTAACAAGCTTATTTTATACAAACCATTTAACTTATGTTTGAAATTTAAGCGTTTCGACAATACATCAACCGTTAGCTAAAGTCCTTTAAACATAACAATATACAACATTTACCAATTAATCGACATTTCGATGATGCACTCCATTTCCTTCCATTTATGCACGTGATCACACTGTCACCTTCAATGTTATACCCACTGTAACATTCTATCTTTACATAATTGCCAAAGACAAACTCGTCACCTCCATCTGTGTCAGTTATTTTTCCGTTGTACGGTGTAGGATCATCACAGACTTAAAAGTATTGTAAAATCATATCAATAGTAATCATTATAAATATTGTCATTATTTCAGTCAACAGTTGTTATATGATACTTAAAATGCTTATAAGTACACACTTTCAAGCTTTTATCTGTCTTTCAATTGGCGTTATGATAATTTATTTGCTGTCAAGTTGAGTTCAATTAGTATTACTTAGTATATTTCAATAGATTGACAATAATAATTATAGTAAGAGACCAATAACTGATAATGAAAATTGTTACTGATACAACATCTAAAATCATAAAAATGACTACCCAACTCTATACAAGGATTGAGAGTAGCACGATGTTTACAAAAACCTGTTGGTCACGTGGATTATTGGTTTTGTTTTAACTTATCAAATATAAAATTGTACACAATTATGGTAAAACGTTAAGTAATTTTTTATTTTTACCTGTTCACTGACCATTTCACTCGGGTGGGCATAAAGCCATTTTAAAGCTAAACGTAAATGATTATCAGCAGGATGAAGGCACTATCTATTAATTACAGCACAACAATATTTAAGAAACGGCGTTAGTTACATGTATATGCAAGTATACCTTGTATTTGACATGACACAGTTTTGTCCCATCCATCTGATGTACAAATAATTTCTGAAGAACCTTGTAAATCATAACCATCATCACACTTGACAGTAGCCAATGATCCAATACTTGTACCAAGTGACGTATTCACTTCACCATTCGCCACTGAGAATCGTCCACAATCTAACAGAATTAAATAGTGAGTACATAGCAGCACACTCTTCTACCCACAATTAAGCAATATAACGATTTGTTTTAACTTTTATAATTGAATAAGATATAAGTTTTACCTGATGTATCACATGTAGGATAATCTGTCCATGTTTCATCTTCTTTGCATTCGATTACTGGTGCTCCCGTCAAGATATAGCCAGGCGCACATGTTATCTCTACAACTGTTCTATATGTTGTCTTTGTACTATTTGCAGAGCCTTTGGCCGGAACAGGATCACCACAATCTGATTACAATAATAGATGAAAGTTTTCTCTTCATTACATCCCAAACATATCGATCGCATAGAAATTACCGTCATGCAGATTCAAGTCAAGTCAAAAGTAATACTACGGATGATTCAAAGAAATACAAATATTCAACTGTTTTAGAATATATGAAAATAATTGTCGAACACGTTTTTCAAAGGTTTTTGTCCTGTGACAGTGAATGCATTATTGCGGTAATATACCTGTATTCTGTTTATTGACATTGTAAAAAAGTATTTCAATTAATAATTTTTCAATCGATCATTTTAATACATATTTTTTCTTACCAACAATTTCGCAGTCAGTCCACTTTTCCCATGAACCATTGGATAGACACATAACATTAGAATTCACTTTTGGGTTATAACCAGTCCAGCAACTTATACTCGCTGATTCACCAAATGTAGTTTTGTTTCCAATCAATGTAACATGGGCATAGTTTGGCCTTGGTACTTTACAGTCTAAACGTATGTTTTACATGTCAAAAATATTTTTAATCAACTATTACAATCAAGACACAAGCATGTTTTATTATTGATATAACTGGTGTAGATTATATTTTAAGCTAGTTTAGCGTCGTTATGAAGATTTGAATCGATTTGTCCATTTTCAAATTAAAGTGTTTTTACGAAACATCTACCCGATATAAGAAGCATGCTATATCGTACACTATCCTTGCCTTAAACAGTCGAAATGAATAAATCTTATATGTGTACACGCTTTGTTTATTGCTATTAAAGGGAACAGTAAATGATTTGTTTTTATTTTTCGAGTTTGAAAATGGCACATTTATTTTTTAAAAACTTATTTCCAAAGGATTGAAAATCAAATATTTATTTTTGAAAACGAGAAGTTCTTACCAACGATGTCACAGGCTGGGTTTTGTGTCCAAGTTCCATTTGACTGACATGTTATAACTGCTTGACCTGATAATGTATATCCATTGGCACATGATATCAGAGCAACTGTTCCGTTTGTAGTTTCTGTCGTGTTAACTTTCCCATTGGCAGGTGTTGGATCACCACAATCTATTTGTAGATAAAATAGAATTATAATTATAGTATCTAATGAAAAGTGGGTACATATTTTCAAAATCCCACCAATCTTTAGAGTAAATAGAAACCGATAACTTTTGAACTTAAAGGAAATCTATTTTGTCCGATTGTTGAAAATATTTGGTTTTACAAAGATCGAGGACAAACGTCGACGATTATTACACTTACTATTTTTATATACTATGGTAATAATATTAAAGTTAACAGATAACCTTTAGTAACGGTCAACAACCCATATACACTGTATAAGTAAAGTGTAGAAAACGTGAAACCTAGAATATTTAATATTTACAATCAATCAAATCAATTTATATCAGGAGTCTGGACAACTTTACAATGAACACGTTGATGAATAATATATTCTTACATCTATCAACACAACAAAGGAAGTAGTGTGTGGAGTAATATGTACTTAGTGACGTTAGTGTGGATGAAAAAGCATAGCAATTCTAAAAGGCTACCGAAGTAAGTAATTTCACCGTAACAAAGAACTTGTAAATACAATCTTTAATAATTAACATCTGAACGTTACTGAAAACAACATTATTTTATTAAATGCATGAGCATAAAATCTCACGAAATAAAATAAAGATCATCGTTTTTGCTATGATAACTAGAACTTTACCAATTAGTTTACATCTTGGTTTATTGGTCCACTCCCCGTTTATCTGACAAATGATATCACTGTTACCATCCAGTATATGATCTTTATCACAAGAAACATGGATTGCAGCACCATAATTTGTCTTTGTCGAGTTTGTAAAACCATTGTTTGGTGTTGGGTTACCGCAATCTACGGAAAATGTATTATAAAAAATAATCTATCCATCTATTACCGTAATTCATGATACTATAATTATTAAGAATCTAAGTTGTTGAGCGTTTGAGCCAAGTTTATATTTCAGATTTTCCAATTCAAATCAATTCTAATGAAAGGACTCGTTTTGATAAATCGGGATAATTAACTAAATTCGAAATTAAAAACTGTTGATATTGTTCTGTACTTAATATGTTAAATATCTTATCAAAGAAATGAATATATATTTGTTTAAGAACATATATATAGAAATACCTTAATTATAACATACATACTGACCATTAACGTAAATGATTGAAATTATGATTATACAAACCTGTACATACAACAGCTATATCGTCATCATGGTTACAATTATCATATGTTTCGTACGTGCAATTGTTTAAATGGACCGCGTCTTCCCGACAAATTAGATCGTCAATAAATATTGGCCCTTTCCCTGCTCCAAAATATGATTTACCATAAAATCCCATTGCTGGCCTGCAGAGGGAATTACTTCATTAAAAAATAACGGCATACGTTTTCTTATTGCTTTATCTTTAAAAAGCATATAAATCGAAGTCCAGTAACTGTTTTAGCTTAAAAAAACACTATTAGATTTAATTATAATAACAGCGAGTAATTAATAGATGATGTTGGGTACCTTTTACGTTTGAATGTACTGTTAATTTAATCTAACAGTACCAGTATATACAAAATTATGTCAATGTATAAGTCTCAAACTTCCCATTACATCGATTTCTTGTATACCCAACAAATCATTTCCGCGTAATAGGGCCAAACGTCTTTAATATGCAGATCTGAAAATCTTCACCAAAACGCCTATTATTACTGTAAGTTATAATGTGAGTTATCCAATCTAGAACAACGGCAGCATATCCAAATAATTGCGCCTGTGAAAAACCTTTTTACACAAATAATCGTCTTGTTTACTTTTTTATTACAGTATGCATTTTACTGTGCTTCCAGTGTGTCTTTTTCAGCCTTTTCCAAATCAACCAATTAAAACAATGAACACATTTTTATTATCATGGTTAAATGAAAATCGTTATAAAACACTGACTTTGAGGTTAAAAATAACAAGGCAATATGCCACTTACGGGTATCCAAGCATTCGACATATAACATTAGCTTCTTGTATTCCGAAAGCATCATCGCATACTGTTCCCCAAGTATCTAAAGACTTGATCTCGACCCTACCAGCTGTCGAATTGGGTCCGTCAACAAGCCGTACACCAGTGATATCCAGCGGAAAATCTATATAAAACTTGCATACTACAAAGTCGTTACAGAACAATTGTTGCGCTGCAAGAAGTAGTATCTTTTCTATAGATATTTCTTACCAGTTTGACCCGCTCAAGCATTGTCCATTTGAATTATATGATTTTTCCTTCAAAACGAGTTGAATGATATACAGGATATTTGTTAAGTTCAGTATAAGATCGGAATATATTTCACCGAGTGAGCACCAAAAGGTATATTTCACAAGTGGTGCCGCCACGAGTGAAATATGAACTTTTGGTGTTCATAGAGTGAAATATATTTCGATCTTTCACTAAACTAAACAAATTTTCTTTTTATTATATACAAAGAAACGTTTTGAAGAGACATTAAACCTAATACTGAATAAAAAGCACGCCAAATAATAATACAATGTGACGTCATTTACGACGTTAAAAACAGTGAAATTATCAGTTTTATATCACTGATATTTTTCTATAAATCACCGAAAAGCATGTAATAAGTCTTGTGTTATTTGATATTTGGAGGATTTAATTTTAATTACTCACTCCAGTGCATATCTTTGCTTAAGTATCTATCAAAGGCTAAATTGCGATATATGTTTGGCGTTTCTTAAAGCTTTAATTTATAATCTCTACAAACTTAAAGTTATATTTTCATATGATAATTAGAATTATACATACTGTACTCTTGACACTCCCCCTCTGTAACCCACTCTTGTGTTTGATTATTACAGGTAAGTTTTAGTTTCCCAACGTAAGTCTTGTAGTATGAGCAATCCGCAAACAAACTCGTGTCATTATAAGTGAAAAAATCAACGCCCCAGAAAAATATATCTGGTTGTCCGCATTCTAATAAAAAAGAAATAAGTTGGCGTGATTGATTTGTTACGAATTAATAAATAAATAAAATGCGTTCCAGAATAAAAAAGGAAATTCCAGATGTCCTTTTTCCGGGGGTCGACCTTAAGCCACTTTTTCAGCAACAAATTTACATGCAGAGAGAGTTACATAGTGAGACTAGAAAGATAGAGGAATAATTCCCCTATCTTTTAAACCTAGTACCTGGCCGTTCTGCGGATACTTTTCGACTATCTTTTTATAGGGGTTTATTTTCTAAGGATAATTTTGCAAACTGTTGTTTGGAGTTATTTGATAAATATGCATAGAAGTATATTGTTTATACTTTAAAATGGTTCTTGTTACTGGGTCGTATGGGGGTTGCGTTTATTGGACGCCGCCTTTCCTTGTTGATCTTGTTTATCATATTTTAATATTACTGTCATCTTTGCAGTTCATTCTCCGAAATCGCAAATGGTGTAATACTATTTTACGAAATGAATAAATATGATATTTTTTCTGCATATTTCTCATGCGTTAGTATGATCTTTGCTGATAATTGTTATTTGTGTAGATGAAAATGTGTTCGTGATATATGGTTTTACCCCCGTTTATATGAAAATGATATAATCAATGAAAAAATGGAGGGTCATTCAATAACGCAAACATTTGTTCTTGTTTTTTTATGACAATAAGTTTCTTTATTTAACATTTTCCATCATACATCATGTTGTTAAAATGAAAACAAATGTAGTAAAACAACAAAAATAAAAATATGTAAAAGTTATCTACAACTGATATTAATATGATAATTAATAAGCTAGTGGTAACGTATTATTGCCAACTAATCCATTTTTAACAAACAACCTATAAAAAATACGTATCCATTACCTACAATGTAATCATTACATTTATTTACATTAATTATCAACTTTAAAAAAACAAGTGCAAAAATATAATATTTATAGTGAAAAATGAATAATAATAATGATAACAACAACAATAGAAATAATAATTATAATAATAATGAACTTCAATGTTCATATATAAATATATATATTAATAAGTGACTTCAAATGATTTTTCTCATTTTCTTTTCAAAAATATGCCATGTTTATTTGCCAGGGTGATATTGAAATGAGAAAAATAAATTAATGTCAGTTATTTTTAGTATAAGATTATACTATTTTTACTATTTTTCTCATTAAACTTATATGCCTTGAAGTGTAAATGAAAATATCAGTGTAAAAATTTTGCTTTATCAATATAATATAACTGTTACATATACCGGGATGTGTTCCCAAATTACCCATTACTTCAGTGTGGGCATAGAAAAGTTGTTTGAAGTGGCAAATAGGTGAAAGATAAGCATCTTTGCTTTCTAACATTAACAAAATGAAAAGGTACTTTACTCGTATAGCATTTAATGATAGGAAGAGTTTACTTTTCTTTTTCTTTTTTAATAACTGATAAATAAACAAACAAATAAATAAAGGGATGAAAAAATAAGTAAATAATAAATAATTAAATAAATATATGAATAAATAAATAAATATATATATATATAAATCATTGATGTAATATAAGGTGATTGAAATGTGATAAAAACATCAAATGATAAAAATGTTATTTAACTGCGGTAAATCATTATCAATTATATGCAATAATGTGATTGATTGCTTTCATGCAAATATATTGTTTCAATGCTGAGTAAAAAGCTTAATTATAGGTTCAGAGAAAATACAAAACTCATTCAACCAAAGTTATATTGTTATGGTTATATATTGGCACATCTTCATCTGTTAATTCTTTTGAAATTATATCCAAGTTTATGCGGACAAATGACACATAACTGTTTGCTATGCATGTATGTTCCAAAAGTGCCAATTCAATGTTCTAAGATTTCTTTACTCAAAGAAGTAGTAAATCTTATAAGCTATCGTACAATCTCTAGTTGTAAAATAATGTCCATTTTACTGACAGTCGATTCCACATTAATCATTTCGCTAGTAGTCAATAAATACACCGAAGCACTAATAGTCTTACCACATAACGCGGAAATAATACAAGTTACACATTGTGCTGATTAGTTACACAATGTGTGAGAAGTTCTACATCATCTTTAGGCATTTCATTAAACAAAAATGCGTTTTTAAAAATATTATAATATAATATACCTTGCCTACCTTATGATAACTATTATAAGTTCAAATACAAACAAGAGACAATGTGAATACATAAGCCGACCTCTGGTAAAATATTCGACCTGCGGGGGATAATAACATTCCTGCCTTATGCCCGGAACAGCACAAACGTCAAAACATGATCATGATTCTTGTTTTAACCCGCACTCCCCCGGGGCGAAACTAAAAAAAAAAAAGTTTTCAAAACTTAAATAAAATGTGTATGCAAAACCAAAAAAAAAAAAATATGTATGCAAAAAACAAATATGATTTCAACACTTAAACAAAATATGTATGCGAAACAAAAAAAAAAAAAATTTAGACAAAACAAAGCAAAATCAAGAATTGCAAATGTCACTTTTATGCCACCGTACATAACTGAAAATGAAACTATTTTTTCATCAAAAAACAAAAGTATTTCAAAAATGTTCGGCCATGGTAAACGAGGTTGCTTTGTTATAATAAATATAGTACTATTTATATTCATAAGTATTTTCAATGATATGTTTCTTTTGGATCGTTTTTCCCTGTGTTTATCTTCTTTTCTATTTTATTGTTGTTGTTGTTGCTTCTTTTTTTTTGGAAAAAAAAACAACAACAAAAAAACAAACAAAAAAATACCCATTAAACTTGCAATAACATTTATGCATATAAAGGGCTTATAGTTTTATTTTTTATAATAAAATTTCATGCATTGTTACTGCAACAAACGAAAATTAAGGCAAATTTGACGTTCCTGAACATTTATGGAATATAATACAAATAACTAACATTATTTTTGCAGAATTCTGATCTCATATCTATTTTTCTAATTATCGAAAATCAGACACAAAAATAAAAATCAATTTCAATATAATAAACATAATAAGAAAAATATGCGTATCAAAGAAATCTATTCGATGATAAAAGCTAGTATCAAAATGTTAAAAAGGTTAAAGGCACAATCTGTCGCAGAAATCCATAATATTTAAAATGTTTAGAAATGTAAAACATGTATTCACTATTGTTTTAATCAAAGATTTAGAGAATGTAAGATGTTTAACATATGAGGAAAGTATGATGAATGTTCAATAATATGTCGTAAAGGTAGCAATATGTAATCAAGGCAGTATTTTGACTTCTACACGAAATACTTATTTACAATAATTATATTAATTGCAAAATTATTCTATATAGAAAATGAGATCTTACCACTTTTAAGAAACTGTAACAGAATACCTAACTTAAAATTTATAAAAAGGTTTTGAAAAATGAAACTGAGAGCAATTTTTAGGCACGATGTGCCTTTAATTGTACATCCCAAAGATTATGAAAAACCAGATATGCGTAATATTATATTACACAAAACACAAAGCACTGACAATGCAAGACATAATATTTATACATGTACATTTTTCTGAATATATTTTTGCGGAATCAAATAATGAGTTTCATTCTGTAAAGAAAAACAAAAATAAAACGATAGTCGGAGCATGATGAATTGAGAATACCAAAATCACTTCAGCAACTTCAATGTTAAATGTTTATGCCTGTTGTTTTCATCGCGCATTCATAATATTTGCGTTTGTTCCGATGCATCACTTGTCTTAACAACAATTTTTATCCGTATTTTATGGTAACTCCCTATTTGACGCCGTTTTATATTATATCCAGTATACGTCTTATTACAGAGCCCCTAAGGTGACATTCTCGACACTTTTCTCCCGGCATTTAATTCGTTTTTACGAAATATTAATTCGTAATTACGAAATATCAATTCGTTTTTACGAAATATTAATTCGTTTTTACGAAATATTATTTCGTAATTACGAAATATTAATTCGTTAAAACGAAATGTTATTTCGTAATTACGAAATATCAATTCGTTTTTACGAAATATTAATTCGTATTTACGAAATATTAATTCGTTTTTACGAAATGTTATTTCGTAATTACGAAATATTATTTCGTTACTACGAAATATTAATTCGTAAAAACGAAATGTTATTTCGTAATTACGCAATATTAATTCGTTTTTACAAAATCTTATTTAAGGTCATTTTGAGCTTGATAAAGAACTTATTAATCTCACAAATGGATCATTTACATGCCTTGATCAACTTTGCGATTATAAGCCGAATGGTTCGCAAGTTATTATATTTAAGTGAACAAGGTTTTTGTGTGAGAAGTCATTCTCTATCCAAAATGGTCTTTTTCCCCATTGTCAAATACATGTTCCTATCAGCAATGTTTTAATGTTTGAGGCAAACTTTTACGACATGTATCTTTAAAACAGAAACATGCTATATTATTCCGTTCTTTTATCATATACATTAGTAAAACTAATGGGACGAGGGGTGGGGGGGGGGGGTCCAGACTTTCACTAATCTAATCAAGTTAAAATGAATATTTCCTCACAATTTATTATTAGAAATGTCCGTGTTTGGATTTGAAGCACAGAACCCCCATTTTAAGTAAATTTTCCTAGCCCGTGTACTATCACGGCTGTGGCTCAACGCTATTGACATGCGATTATTTTAATTTATATACAATAGTGTAAATTTTAAAAACTTGGGGAGAACAAAAATCACTATTTATATTGCATGTACATGCCTTATATTAAGTCAGGAACTAAGTTTTGAGGCCTTATTTATAACTATTACCAAAACCCTTTGAAACGCTAGAAAAAATTTAATTCGTTTTTACGAAATATTATTTCGTATTTACGAATTATTATTTCGTAATTACGAAATAACATTTCGTTTTTACGAATTAATATTTCGTAATTACGAAATAATATGTTTATTCTACTTTTCACTAATATGTGTTATAATGAAAAAAATAACTATATTTTCTTTCGTACATGATATCCTTGAAACACAACCGCTCTCCATTATATCATTTTGTTTGAGTATAAACTATTGCCATAATTATATAAATACACATCCCGGAATAAACACAGTCAGAATCGCACATATGAGTATTTGATATTCTGCCAAGACAAGTACAAATAAAATGGTTTCCTGCGGGAAACATTTTTAATGATATAAAGATATTTCATTTAACTATTTTCAACATTGTTTGAGGAAAAAATAAATAAACGTTTGTATCAGGAATATAGTTGAAAATAATCGATCAATAGAAGGAGGTCTATGGAGACTGGTGATCGTTGAAGACCGGAGGCCGGAGAGAATGTCGAACATAAAATAATTACGGTATTTCTTTTTAAGAAAATGATTAAATACCATTGTATGAATAATTCCGTGCACTATTTACACAAATTTACGCAGAAAATAT